AGACTCAGTGTGTCCACAGGCTCAGTGTGTCCACAGGCTCAGTGTGTCCACAGGCTCAGTGTGTCCACAGGCTCAGTGTGTCCACTGCTCAGTGTGTCCACTGCTCAGTGTGTCCACAGGCTCAGTGTGTCCACTGCTCAGTGTGTCCACAGGCTCAGTGTGTCCACTGCTCAGTGTGTCCACAGGCTGAGGACAGCAGCTCAGCTGGACCAATCAGGAGGACCCAACAGAAACTAATCCTGAGGTCTGTGTCCTCTGACATGGGGGTCCCTGTAGGTTCAGTTTGGTTTTCATTTGAACAAATCCTGAACCTGAGAACCGTCCGGACGTCCCTCTGCTCTGAGGTGGACCTGATGGCAGCTGYTGGACAGGAGTCTCAGCTGAACCAGACTAAAATCTCTGAGCTCCACGTTTCAGTTAAATCTTTACAACCTGGAACTGCAACAGTTTGGTCTGAGYTCCTGCTTCTTGTAGCTCCACAAGCCCCTCCCTGTTCTTAGGTGAGCAACTCGTTTTGGTGCTGTCTCTTTAAATGTAAATGAGACTCCGCCCCCTCCAGATCTCACTATAAATTCTTGTAGTTTGGCAGCAGAAATATGTTTATTCAGCGGAGCAGAAACGGTTTATTTATAAATGAATTCAAAGGGAAGACYTGTCCCAGAACCAGAGCCTGACCTGTGACCCACAAACCTGCAGAATCATGACTTKGTTCAGCAGAACTGTAACATTTTAACAACAGTAACAAAAATCGTACATTTTTCAGATGTTTATTAATTTTGCACCATGTTAACCTGCTGTGCTACAGTTTGGGAACGATTCCCCTCAAATCCAGCCGTGATGTGACCAGACTGATRTCCTGTTGGTTGTTTGCAGCAGTTATATTTAAACGGACATATATGACTCTCAAATGTTGAAATCAGGTCAAAGTTACCTGAAAACTTAACCAGTTCATTTTTATTGTGTTAGAGCAAATGATGTCATGTTAATTGGGGGTGGGGGGTCATAACCCCCGTAACCCCGCTGCAGATTACACCTCTGAGTCTGACTCAAGCTTCCACCCTGGAGCACAGTTTGGTGGTTTCTCCTGTGAGTCACTGATGCTTCAGTCTGCTGGCATCATCACAGAAAGCCCCTCGTTTCACCACATCCCTCCAGTCTTACAGCAGCTCCTGGTCTCTGGGTTTAGTTTATAATCCTGATGAGCATCAGGGGCCGTCAACAACCTCGCCCCTTCGTATCGGTCAGATCTGAACATAGACCACCTGTTCCTGCTCCCTCCRTTCTTCCTCTTTCCTCCTCATCATCGTGCACCTCTGCTCCTTTTCTGCTAGTTTTTTAATTTCAGTGTCTTTTTATTATTTCGTATTATTTTTAATTTAGTGTTTCTAATTGTTTAATGTGTCATCGGGTTTATTATATTTTAATTATAGGAATTATAGACCCTTCTTCCTGTTTTGGGCTCTACTTCCTGTGTGAAAGCTGTTTAGATGAAGGGATTAGATAAGTTCTGTTCCTTTGTTTAATGGAAGTTAGCAAAAAGCAATAAAGCAACAGCTTGATTCTCTTTTAGATCAGCTTTGTTMAAACTAAACGATGCAGATTTACTCAGATTCTTCATTTTATCGGTCGAGTCGATCAACCAGACAGTGGGTAGCTGTGGTGGGGTCTTGGTGGTCTTCAGGTGGCCAGTATCGTGGCAGCTTATCCACTATGTCTGAGCTGTTTGGTTCTCGACGATCTGAATGAAGACGTTAGCTGCGAGGCCTGGGCACGACTGTGATCAGGAAGGTTCAGATTAACTTCCTGCTGAGGCCGAAAAAACTGCTGAACCGTGGGAACAGAGTCCAGACATGAAGGTTCAGGAGAGGAGGGGAAACAAAGGGGCCGCCGCCCATGTAGGCCACGCCCCCTGACAGTCAGTGTTGACTGAATAAACAGTGTGTTTGTGTGACCACGCACTGCCCCGTTAGTTTTATACCACAAGCCTTCAGTCAGAACATGTGTCTTGTACTGGAGGTATCACTTCATAAGGTCTTGTTATTAAAAACTTAAAACATTTGCTAAACAAACACATAAAAATGAATTCTTCAGTTCGAGGTGACAGCATGTTGGAGTAGCTCTAATTCTGAGATTTTCTTTTTAAACTTTTTTAATTCCTCCTTTTCTGGATAAAAAATGATTTTTTGGATGATTATCTCCTCTGCTATTAGATGCTGTACAGCTGGAAGTATTTTTTGTTAACACCTATTTTGCTTTTGGACATGATGCGGATCCATGCAACGTGGTGTTTTTTTTATAACCGGAAGCAGCTGATTAACATCTCAAAAGTCCAAATAATACTTCAACTAAAGCCCCAAATYCCAGATGAGTTGAAAAGGAGGTGCTGTGGATGCAGAGCAGGAGCAACGAGGAGAGAGAGGAGGAGGAGGAAGTTCAAACCATCTCTTCCATCAATCATGATCAATGTGAGATCGTTGGGGAACATGTTGGACGAGCTCCAGGCCCTGAGGGGAACTCGGCTGCAGTTTGTGTCCCTGACTCCAGCGTCTCCCTGCCAGGCTTTCTAACCACACRATGGACAACCCTGAGCATCCTCTTCATCAGACGTCACTACAACAGAGTCTTCAGTCAAGCTTCTGTTAGACGGACAGCTACAGGAGATCCTTCCTGCCCACAGACGGCAGTATCTATAACAACTCTTTAAAAAAACAGGATGAGTTACAACATTTAATTTCCCTTTGGGATTAATAAAGTTTTACTGAATATAACTCATTTGAAACCTGACATCATGAGGAACTCCTGTTCATGTTACCCAGCCGCAGTGGACTGAAGCAGTTCTTGGGGGGGAGGGAGTCCAGGGGTAAAAGATCCACTTAAAACACAGCTTTTTCCAAAAATTTGAAGAACATTTTACTAAATCTTTAATAAACAAGATAAAGTCAGTGTTTTATGAAGACTGAAAGCCAGACTTTAACCTGATCTTTATCAGGGAGCATGACGGGCGGCGCTCTGAGCCTGTTCTGTCTACGCCACGGGCCGGTCCTGCTGACGGCGCAATGAATCCTGGGATTTCATTGACTGTGTAGGACACTCAGAAGCAGCCCCAGTCCAGAACTGAGCACCTGTTCTTCCTGTGACTCACCTCCGTCTGTAGGAACACCTTGTCCCCRTTCTTGCAGCACCGAACGAAGCAGTTGGATCCGGTCAGGTTCAGGACCACGGGCATTCCTTTGAAGGTGTGATCCATGTCGTTGGACTTGTAGTAGTAAATGTTGATCTTCTCTGAACAAAAAGAAAACTTTGAGTAAACTGGCTGTCTGCTGCAGAGCAGGTGTYCCTGCAGACCTGCAGGTCTCACCTGGGTTTGGGGACGGGTACAGAGACCCACTGGAGCAGATGCCTCGCACGAACAGATGAGACGGCACGTGTTTGATCAAAGCCTCTGCCAGTTTCTCCTGCCTGAAGCTGACGTCTCCTCTGGGAACTGAAAGGAAGCGAGGCTCAGACTGACTTTCATTTGTCCTGAACGGAACAAAGAGCTACAGAAGAAAGACTCACTGAGCGTCACCGTGCTGGACTCTGACACCACGATGACGTCCTTCAAGGTGCACCCCGTCCCGTGACATCCCTGACAGGTGCAGTCGTTGCAGCCCCGCCCACTCACCACGGAGATGCTGGTCTGGGTCATGGTGACGACCAGCAGGTCTGAGTCGTCCTCTGGACAAACGTCCTTCTCTGTGTTCTTCTCCCATCCTTCATGGACGACTCCCTCCTCCTCCTCCTCTCTTATCATCTCCCAGGAGAAGCTCAGCATCGTGGTCTCCTTGTTGAAAGGTTCTAAAAGATCCTTTTCTTCAGACACAAACGCCTCCTTTTTCTGTTCCGCCTTGTGCACGGTCTGAACAAACAAACAGTTTCTCTTGTTTACTGTGAACACAACTGAAGAGAAAATCTAAAAAAACACGAAACAAATGAACCAAAGAAAAACAAGACAAGAAGTTACAGGTTGAAATAACTCACTCATTTCAGAAACTGTTAAAGATGTTACAGGATCTGTTAGTATCAGTGTTGTTTAAAGTACMTCAAAGTGATACTTGAGTAAAAGTACAAGYAWATTATCATAAAATTACTTTGGTAAAAGTTAARGTCTYCTCTAAGAATATTACTTGAGTAAAAGTCTTAAAGTATCAGATTTTTTTGTACTTAAGCATTAAAAGTACATTTCTGACATAAAATATATTCAGAGTTGTACAGTAACTAAGTACAAATACTACGGTACGGAACCCGCGGGGGGTCAGTGGGAGAAAAAAAAACAGCCGCTGGAAATCCGTGAGCACGGATTACTACTCCATAGGGTATCTGTACTTTACTTGAGTAATTATTTTTCAGCCTTCTTTTCACTTTTACTTCTTACATTTTCACACAATTATCTGTACTTTTTTATTTCTTACATTTTTAAAAAAGTCTAGAAGTATAAATTTGTTACTTTTATTTCATTTCTGCTTGTTTTCATTGCAGCTTGTTGTTGTAAAAAATAAAAACTATCCATATAAACTGAGCCTCCTAGATAGAGTGAATTTAACTGTGGTTGAATGAGAAGTATAAATATATAAAACTCTGATAGTGTATTAGTTTGTACACAAACAAATCATTTAAGAAATGTTCACCTA